TACAGTGAGTGAAATTCCTCTGGAAAAACCCTGACTACACACTTTTTGTAGATGGCTCCAGATGTGTAGATGAAGGAGGCAAGTACCACACAGGTTATGCTGTGACCTCGGAATTTTAAATTCTACAAGCAGGAGCATTACCACCAACTGTATCTGCCCAGGAAGCAGAGCTTCAAGCCCTCACTACAGCATGTAAGATGGCAGAAGGTAAAAGAGCCAATATTTACACAGACTCAAGGTACGCCTTTGGAGTAGCTCATGATTTCGGTATCATCTGGAAAGCCAGAGGGTTTCTGACAGCGGCTGGAACACCGTGAAACACAGCCCAGCCATCAAGGATTTAATGGATGCACTGCTCCTGCCTGACCAAGTGACTGTCTTGAAGGTTAAAGCACATGGCAAACTGAATTCTCAAGAGGCCAGAGGGAACCACTTGACGGATATAGCTGCCAAAGAAGCAGCAAAAAACCAACGAAAAACGGCCGAGGTGGCCGAAAAAGGGAGAGTGAGACCTTTTGGCGGTGCATGTGCCATTTGACAAGCAATACTTGATCTTTATGCAAATGGATGCTTATACAGAAGAAAGGCTGGAATGGATTGATAAAGGAGCAGACTACGATGGAGAACTGTATTCGATGAAAGGAAAAACTTGTTTACCAAAATATATGTATCCAGCAGTTGTCCAATGGGCGCATGGACATGCACATCTCTCTAAGAACTTAATGAACTCACTGATCAGCAAGTATTACTGGGCTCCAGGGATACACCTTAACCAGAAATTACTGCGCCTCGTGTGTAGTATGTGAAAAATGCAACCCAGGGAGGACAGAAAAGACACCGCAGAAACATCTGGCAAAACCCCTCTATCCATTCCAGAGGGTACAGATTGATCATATACAGATGCCAAAAAGTGGCCGATATGAATATGCCCTAGTGGTGGTGGATATGTTCTCTGGTTGGCCGGAAGCCTATGCTGTTACAAACATGACAGCCAAGACCACGGTTAAGAAACTACTGAGTGAGGTAGTCTGTAGATTTGGGGTCCCAGAGGTGATAGAGAGTGATCAGGGTCCAGCCTTCACAGCAACCCTTACAAAAGAGATTTGGACAGCACTGGGGGTTCAGTTGGCCCTACACACCCAATTTCACCCTCAAAGCAGTGGGAAGGTAGAATGGATGAATGGAATTCTAAAAAACAGGATGCTAAAGATGGCCCAAGAGACTAAAATGAGTTGGCCAGACAGTTTGCCCATTGCCCTGTTCAGTGTCAGACACACCCCCCGGGGGAAACATGCTCTGTCCCCTTATGAAATTTTGTTTGGTTCAGCCAACAGACCTGGTGTTACTTTCCACAGCAGTTGCAGTTACAATCTGATGTGTTAACTAGCTATGTCACACGTCTGTCTAGAGAATTAACCAATATCCATTCTCAAGTGTTTTCCTCCATTCCAGATCCAGAGGCAGACTCGGGAACTCATAGTCTTCCGCCAGGAGACTGGGTGTTGGTGAAGAAATTCATGAGGAAAAACTCATTTGATCCCTGATTCGAAGGACCATTCCAAGTCCTGTTGATCACAGCTACATCAGTCAAGCTAAAAGGGAAAAACACCTGGATACACGCCTCCCATTGCAAGAAAGCCCTATCTCCTGAAGACAAGACTCTGCCTGCACCACGATGATTGTGTTGTATATCCTTTTCCTAATGAGTTTGATAGAAGCTCAGCTGGTGGCTTTAAATATGGTGTTAGCTGAGAATGGAGGTGTCTGTAAAATGATAAAAAGAACGGGAACCTGTTGCACCTACATTCCTGACAATACCGGCCCAAATCGGTGTAACGGTATTAATAATTCTAGTTTTTTTAGCTCTGATTGTATGTTGTATTCTACCATTTGTAAAGAACTTAATAAGCAAGGCTGTAGACAACAGCACACCTACATTTCTCCATCAAGAAGAGGAGGACCCCCTTACGATGCAAGAGGATAAACCCTTCACTCCTCCACGGTCCCTCCTCGCCAACAGCAATTTCACAGTTTTGTAGGGATAGCATCTGACTTCCTTATGTACAAAGCCTGTGGCAAGGGGGGTGATGAAATAGTCATCACCTGTCTAACGTACAGAATAAAAGAGTTCCAAGGTACATAAGGACAGATGAGCTAGGCTTTATAGGGACAGAGTAAAATAGTCATTTTAAGGGGGGACTGTGATGGATATGGTAAAATGCCTATTCGGTTTCCTGTTTAAAATATACATTTTATATATATATATATTTACTTTTATACTTTTTCATATTTCTAAATATATGTGTTGTGCATATATATTTTGTCTGCTGGGCTTTGCAGTCCTCCTTAACTTGTTTGTTCAGAGCGATGTTCTCAACCCCTCCCTTCGAGCTGTGAGGATCTTGTACCTAGGCCTTGAATATGTGAGGGGGAGTGAAGAGATAAACGGGCCTGAAGCATCAAGTTTCTGCACTTCTCCCATATTTCAGCCAAGCAAAATGTGCCTTTTAGAATGTGACTGTATTTACATAATTGTCAGGGCTCCGGGTATGACCAGAGGTATGTGAACTGACGCAAGGGAAACGCAGGCTTCAGATATGTTATAAACAATATAATTTATTAATACTAACAATACAAAACGCAGTGCAATACTAAAACATAAACACAGTGCAAACGAACCAAACCAAACCACCCACAGATAACAATACATACAATGCAAGCGTAGTCAGGCAGGCCGGGTCAATAACAATCGGGCAGGTAGGAACAGGAGGAGCAGGCAGAGAGTAGTCAGGTCACAAGCCAGGTACAGCAACTAAGGGGCAGGTAGGTACAGGGGGTCAGGCAGAGAGAGAGGCACATCGGGCTGGACTCCGGGCAGAGGCACATCGGGCTGGACTCCGGGCAGAGGCACATCGAGCCACCAGGCGGAGCAGCAGGCACCGGCCACCAGGCGGGGCAGCAGGCACCGGGCCACCAGGCGGGGCAGCAGGCACCGGCCACCAGGCGGAGCGGCAGGCGCCGGGCCACCAGGCGGAGCGGCAGGTGCCGGGCCACCAGGCGGAGTGAAAGTGGCGGGTGGCGGGTGCCGGGCCCCCAGGCAGAGCGGCGGGCGCCGGGCCCCCAGGCGGAGCGACGGGCACCGGACCCCCAGACGGGGCGGCAGGCGCCGGAGCCCCCAGGCGGAGCGACGGGCGCCGGGCCCCCAGGCGGAGCGCCGGGCCTCCAGGCGGAGCGACGGGCGCCGGGCCTCCAGGCGGAGCGCCAGGCGCCGGGCACCCAGGCGGAGCACCGGGCGCCGGGCACCCAGGCGGAGCACCGGGCGCCGGGCCCCCAGGCGGGGCGGCGGGCGCCGGGCCCCCAGGTGGAGCAGCGGGCGCCGGGCCCTCAGGCGGAGCGGCGGCGGGCACCGGGCCCCCAGGCGGAGCGACGGGCACCGGGCCCCCAGACGGGGCGGCAGGCGCCGGGGCCCCCAGGCGGAGCGACGGGCGCCGGGCCCCCAGGCGGAGCGCCGGGCCTCCAGGCGGAGCGACGGGCGCCGGGCCTCCAGGCGGAGCGCCAGGCGCCGGGCACCCAGGCGGAGCACCGGGCGCCGGGCACCCAGGCGGAGCACCGGGCGCCGGGCCCCCAGGCGGGGCGGCGGGCGCCGGGCCCCCAGGTGGAGCGGCGGGCGCCGGGCCCTCAGGCGGAGCGGCGGGCACCGGGCCCCCAGGCGGGGCAGCAGGCACCGGCCACCAGGCGGAGCAGCAGGCGCCGGGCCACCAGGCGGAGCGGCAGGTGCCGGGCCGGGGCACCAGGCGGAGTGGCGGGCGCCGGGCCCCCAGGCGGAGCGACGGGCACCGGGCCCCCAGACGGGGCGGCAGGCGCCGGGGCCCCCAAGCGGAGCGATGGGCGCCGGGCCCCCAGGCGGAGCGCCGGGCCTCCAGGCGGAGCGCGGGCGCCGGGCCTCCAGGCGGAGCGCCGGGCGCCGGGCACCCAGGCGGAGCACCGGGCGCCGGGCACCCAGGCGGAGCACCGGGCGCCGGGCCCCAGGCGGAGCACCGGGCGCCGGGCCCCCGGGCGGGGCGGCGGGCGCCGGGCCCCCAGGTGGAGCGGCGGGCGCCGGGTCCTCAGGCGGAGCGGCGGGCACCGGGCCCCCAGGAGGGGCGGCAGGCACAGGGCCCCCAGGCGGGGCGGCAGGCACTGGGCCCCCAGGCGGAGCGGCGGGCACCGGGTCATCAGGCACGACAGCGGGCATCGGGTCACCAGGCATCAGGTCATTTGGCTCGCCAGCGGGCACCGCGTCATCTGGCAAGGCAGTGGGCTCCGAGTCAACTGGCATGACCGTGGGCACTGGGTCAGACATTGGATCGTCTGGCTCGACAGCGGGCAGAGGCACATTGGGCTGGACTCCGGGCAGAGGCACATCGGGCTGGACACCGGGCAGAGGCACATCGGGCTGGACTCCGGGCAGAGGCACATCGGGCTGGACTCCGGGCAGAGGCACATCGGGCTGGACTCCGGGCAGAGGCACATCGGGCTGGACTCCGGGCAGAGGCACATCGGGCTGGACTCCGGGCAAAGGCACATCGGGCTGGACTCCGGGCAGAGGCACATCGAGCCACCAGGCGGAGCAGCAGGCACCGGGCCACCAGGCGGGGCAGCAGGCGCCGGGCCACCAGGCGGGGCGGCGGGCGCCGGGCCACCAGGCGGAGCGGCGGGCGCCGGGCCCCCAGGCGGAGCGGCGGGTGCCAGGCCCCCAGGTGGAGCGACGGGCCAGGCCCCCAGGTGGAGCGACGGGCACCGGGCCCCCAGACGGGGCGCGGGGCGCCCCCCAGGCGGAGCGCCGGGCCTCCAGGTGGAGCGACGGGCGCCGGGCCCCCAGGCGGAGCGCCGGGCGCCGGGCCCCCAGGCGGAGCACCAGGCCCCCAGGTGGGGCGGCGGGCGCCAGGCCCCCAGGTGGAGCAGCGGGGCGCCGGGCCCTCAGGCGGAGCGGCGGGCACCGGGCCCACAGGAGGGGCGGCAGGCACAGGGCCCCCAGGCGGGGCGGCAGGCACTGGACCCCCAGGTGGAGCGGCGGGCACCCGGGTCATCAGGCACGACAGCGGGCATCGGGTCACCAAGCATCAGGTCATTTGGCTCGCCAGCGGGTACCGCGTCATCTGGCAAGGCAGTGCGCACCGAGTCACCAGGCACGACAGTGGGCTCCGAGTCAACTGGCATGACCGCGGGGGCACTGGGTCAGACATTGGATCGTCTGGCTCGACAGCGGGCATCGGGTCACCAGGCATCAGGTCATTTGGCTCGACAGCGGGCACCACGTCATCTGGCAAGGCAGTGGGCACCGAGTCACCAGGCACGAAAGTGGGCTCTGAGTCAATTGGCACGACAGCGGGCACCGGGTCATCAGGTACCGGATCGACAGCAGGCACGGGGTCTGGCGCTCGGCTCGACAGCAGGCATCGGGTCACCAGGCATGACAGCGGGCACTGGGTCATCAGGCATTGGATCGTCTGGCTCGACAGCGGGCATCGGGTCACCAGGCATGACAGCGGGCACCGGGTCATCAGGTACCGGATCGTCTGGATCGACAGCAGGCACCGGGTCATCTGGCGCTGGATCGTCTGGCTCGACAGCGGGCATCAGGTCACCAGGCATGACAGCGGGCACTGGGTCATCAGGCATTGGATCGTCTGGCTCGACAGCGGGCATCGGGTCACCAGGCATGACAGCGGGCACCGGGTCATCAGGTACCGGATCGTCTGGATCGACAGCGGGCACCGAGTCATCTGGCGTTAGATCGTCTGGCTCGACAGCAGGCATCAGGTCACCAGGCATGACAGCGGGCACTGGGTCATCAGGCATTGGATCGTCTGGCTCGACAGCGGGCATCGGGTCACCAGGTATGACAGCGGGCACCGGGTCATCAGACGTGATAGGATCATCAGGCTGGATCAGTTCATCAGGCTGGGTACAGACATCAGGCTGAAGTGCGGGTGCCGAGGCACCAGGCTGAACCACGGAAGGCAGGCTCTCAGACGGCAGGCTCACCGGTTTGGATACTGGCAGGATGGTACTGGTTGGAAAGAATTTTCGCTTTTTTCTGGTTTTAACTACTGGAGCACTGCAAGTAAACGCAGGTCTGCAAACGAATGGAGCAGCTGAGGACAGAGAAGAGCTGGAAGATGGAACAGAGGAGGGAGCAGCCGCCACAGCGGACCTCTCCACAGGGCCAAAGAAAGGATAGGTGCAGCGAGTGGGAGCAGGGGACTGGTATGTGGTAGTTAGCAGAGTATACTGGGCTGTCACTGGGGGTGCTGTCGGGGATGCAGGAAGAGTGCCTTGAGCAGAGGAATGACGTTGTAAGCTGACTGAGGCTGGGTGCAACAAGTCTGACCATGTCTGCAGTATGGGTTGAACAAAGCTGAGCTTACACAAAGCCTGTCTGGTCAAAGACTGCACTGCGTTTATACAATCCCTTAATACCTGTGGTGAACATGCAGCATAATGCTCCAAGAAGCAATCCACATCATCCTCTAATAACCATACCAGGGACTCTACCTGGTCTGCACTAAATGGTGGCAAAAAGTCATTCCTGCTTTCAGGGGTACCAGATGAAGCCAACTCTGCACAAACCTGAATCAAAGGTTGCACCTCAGAGAACTCTGTGCCCAGATCTACTAGAACATGAGCGATCCGTATACATTCTAGCAGTTGATCCCGGGTATACTCCCTCAGAGTCTGATAAGCATATTCTCTGTCATCAAAAACCAGCAGCGACAAATACACAACCTCATCAAGATCCATCCTTCCCAGCAACAAGCCAAGATGGCTTCCCTGTGCAGCCACTTCTGGTCAGGATTGGCCTTGGTGTAATGTCAGGGCTCCAGGTATGACCAGAGGTATGTGAACTGACGCAGGGAAACGCAGGCTTCAGATATGTTATAAACAATATAATTTATTAATACTAACAATACAAAACGCAGTGCAATACTAAAACATAAACACAGTGCAAACGAACCAAACCAAACCACCCCACAGATAACAATACATACAATGCAAGCGTAGTCAGGCAGGCCGGGTCAATAACAATCGGGCAGGTAGGAACAGGAGGAGCAGGCAGAGAGTAGTCAGGTCACGAGCCGGGTACAGCAACTAACGGGCAGGTAGGTACAGGGGGTCAGGCAGAGAATGGTCGGGGTCACAAGCCAGGGATCAAACAGGAGAAGACAGCAGAGGTCAGGATCAGGCAGGGTAGGCAGGAGTAAGGCAGGAACAGGAACAGGAATGCAGGTAACAAGATACAGGGGCCCATGGAAAAACACACACCAAGGCCCAGACTGTAGGTCTGGCCATCCCTTAAATACACCTCCGTAATCAGCTTCAGGTGTTTGGCTGACTGCAGGGTTGAGTCTCTGATTGCTGAGAGCACCCGTTGGCCAGCCCTGGTACTGCAGCCCACAAGGCAGGTGAGTCCCACCATTACTGGCAAGTCCATTCCTGACAATAATAGTGACGTATACCCTATTGTTCTCCTTGTATAAAAAGGTTAAGCACTGCTCTGCAATAAACAGATGATGTGAAAGTGGTTATACTGGACAGTTGTCCGTGTAATTATTTCCGGCATGCACGCAATCCATCTCTCAAAATCAGGAGCAGCAGCAGACATTCAACCCTGAGCCCAATTGTGGTTCCCAAAACCTTTACATAGAGAGGTGCCCCAGGAGTCCACACGCTTTTCACCATTTGAACTTCTGCAAGGACGGAGAATAAGAGGGCCCCTGCACCTAATCCGTGGGACCTGGGAGGGCAAAATTGCTGACCCAGACCCATTGGTATTGGAAAACATGGCACAGGCCCAGATGATGCAGAAATGTTGGTATGACCGTAATGTCAGGACATACGTTTGTCAGCAGGTATGTATTCTTCTTCCCCCTGCTGAAGAACAAACTCCAAGCAGTATGGAAAGGCCCATACCCCATCACCCAGCATCTGAATGATGTCACCTTCTTGGTCAGGTTGGGGAAAGAAAGTAGACAGCAGAAGGCCTTTCATGTGAACATGCTCAATCTCCAGACTTAAATCTCCAGATCAACTCCACCTTACCCCCACTCAGGTATCTGGGCTGAAGAGAGTGGTGGCAGTATTTGGTGACAGGTTTTTTTTAACAGTTGCGTTTACTGAAATCGTATAAAAGTATAACAAGGCAAGGTACATAAGAACAGGCAAACTTAAGGCAGTCAGTATAAATACAATACACATGGTATTCCAATGCTAAAAATCATAAGGAGTCAACTGGCCAACCTGAGTGAAAAGGGGGGGAAGAAAGGGGAAAAGTGCCCCGTTGACTGCCGATTTCCATCCTGAGACTGTCGGCGAAGCCGAATGATTCCATTTCAACAGAATTTCTCTCCTAGCATAGTAAAAAGCACAGAAGACAAAAAGTCTATTTTGCTTAGATGTCTCCACGAGGTCCAAGAGACCTAGCAACATAATCAGTGGATCCATGGGGATAGACAGTTGACCAACAGCGTTAATAGTATCCAGCACCCCAACCCAGAAGGGGAGAAGCTTGGATTATTCCCAAAACATATGGAGAAACGTGCCCACCTCCATATCACAGCGAGGGCATGTGGCTGATCTATCAGGATATATCACAGCCCAAGAGACGCGGGGTGTAATATACTCTATGGATAAATATAAGCTGTATGAAGCGGTCCCTGGCCGAGATCATGGTAGAGAGGCACTGTAGAAGACAATCCTCCCAGTCATCCTCTGATAAAAGAAAGGGAGGTCTGTGTGCCATTTATCAAAGAGCGCCTTCATTCTAGGAGTAGAGAGTGGTATCAAGAGGGAATGGAGAGCAGATAACGGCTTAGGCAAATCCTCCATTGACAACAAGTTTTCTAATGGATCCGTCTGAATGGTCAGTGGAGAGGGAAATTGAGCGACCACCAAATATCGCAATTGTAAAAACCAGAAAAACATTCGGTTAGGCAGGCCATAACTGGGTTTGAGTTCGTCAAACTGAAGCAGGACACCAATAAGCATAATATGGTGCAACGTTTTTATACCATATCGAGCCCACACCATTGGGTCCGGTATCGTATGTAAATGGGGGAGAGCAGGGTTGCCCCAGAGTGGTGTGTGAGGGGAGTATGCATTATTTACCCGAAAATTGAGCTCTAGCCTGACTCCACACCCTCAGGGTCATCAGCATAGAAAGAGTGATAGCCGAGTTTGACTTTGGACCTCTATGAATTAGGTTGCAAAGTTCAGCATACAAACCCAGTATTGCCACATCCAGGATCACCGCAGCATTATCCCTAGGCCGGGAGAGCCACCGTCGCACAGTACAGCCTCCCAATAGTATAGAAGCAGTTTAGGAAGTGCCAGACCACCGCGATCATTAGGTAAGTGCAGCATGGATCGGTAGAGTCTAGGGGCTCTTCCAGCCCAAATAAACCCAGAGACGACGCCATCCACTCGACAGAAAAAGGATTGCGGGATCTGCACCGGTGTATGCCAAAAAAAAATAGATAAACTTAGGTAGGAATATCATTTTAAATAGATTAACCCGACTGATGGTGCTAATCGGAAGACCACGCAGTACATTTAGTCTGCAACTGGTGCACAAGGGGATGAAGATTGTCTGCTAGAAACTTCTTCAAGTCACGTTGCACCGTTACACCCTGTGATGACATTTGGACTGTTTATTAAGAAACTGATATTACCCAAAAGAACATCTTAAAAGCTGACTGTCAGGGGTTAACATTCTAGGTTGAATTTCAAGTGAATTTCCAAGAAGTTACCACACACACAATGAGTGGACGAAATTGGTCTAAGACACCACTATTTGAATGTCTGAATTCAAATTTGAAGGTGAGCATACACAAGGTACCAAAGGGACAATGGTGAGAAGGAAACATTATTGTCTGATTTCTCCAAAAACCTTGGAAAGTGTGTGATTACCAAACAAGACCTCTAAGCTGTCATAATAGGCTATTATATCCTGAGGTCAAAATCCAGTCCATTCTGTTTACCCTAATTCTCACACAATAGGGCAAGTAACTAGAGGTTTTCTCCATCACATATCCTTGAAAGTATATTATCAACACTTTTTCATCAAAGGAAAATCTATTCAATAAAGTTGGGTAATGCATACCACTCAACTGAAGATCATGAAGTTAAAAATATAAGATGGTTTGTGAGTTGGGTAATTTCTACATTTCCAAAGGAAATCAGCCATTCCAATACAGTTCATATATCAGAAAAATGAGAAACCAAATGTATTCACATCTTTCTATGGTCCTTATCCAAGAGTTAGTAATGAAATCATCTATACTTGAATAGGACATATATTTGATCTATAAAGACATACTGCTTATATAAAAGAGTGAGTCATCATTAAGACCACCAATTCATTTGTAATACCTGACTGTCCCCAGTGGACAGGTTAGGAACATCTCTAGGTGTGCAAACTGTTCAACTGTCCAATCGACGAGCCTGTTGGGAGGTCCCTCGGAACAAAGGACTTGTATGGTTTAAAAAGCCAGACACCTCAAAGTAAAAGACAATCTTCTAAAATCTTCTACGAACTTTAACTTTAATCTTCTCCCATCTTCTGATCTTCTGACAACTTCTAAGACTTCTACTACTGCTTCACTACCCTACTACCACTATATACTGCACTATACTCACTTGCCACCTGCGGCCATTTTGCTGAGAACTTCCAGCTGCCATTTTGAAGGAAAAGATTTTCGCCAGAGACGCTGATGCTCATTTAAATTCTGGTGCCTGATTGCCCAGAAACATTTATTTTCCAATTGCAGCCCACTGGGAGGCCTCAAAATCGAGATTCTGGGAGTGGTGAGACTGTGCCAAAATATTGTAATTTTCTTTTATATTTCAAACTTTCTAAGATTTATACCATTTTTATTGTGTGGTTAGGAATATACTAAGGTTATCTATATGATTATAACTATAACTATTTGAATATTGGTATTGAGGTTATATACTGCATACTAACTAATTTGTAGTGTTGTTGTTGTGCTAATTATCAGAGATATTTTCTAATTTCCCTATGGCCACGTGAAATGAGAAATAATATCTGAAGCACTATAGGTTGCAACTAATCTCACAAAATTTTGTTTTTCCTTCATTTGAAATCATATATTGTATGATAATATAGATATTAGCATATTATATCTTTGATTGTGTGTACGAATATATATTCATCACCAGTATTTTGCGTTTGTATTAATATATATATAAATATTTGTACATAAATAAATTTATTTATTTATCAAAAAGGCAAATTTTGTGTATATGGTAGGAAATCATATTGGTAAAAGAACTTAAGGTAAGGTAAATTATTAAGTGGTGATCAAATTATTAAGGTGTCCAAATTATTGGTTTCTTAAATATTTGCCGTATTTTAACGGCTGCAGGCACTGCAATATTTTGTTTAAGGGAGAGGACACCGCCTTACGTATTTAGAATAAATTACCGTATTTTTCGCTCCATAAGACGCACTTTTTTCCCCCCAAAAAAAGGGGGGGAAATGTCAGTGCGTCTTATGGAGCGGCCGGTCCGGTATTTCCACCGCCGCCGTGTCAGAATACCGGGCCGGCCGCTCAGCTCTGCAGTGGGACTTTACCTGTTCCTCTATCCAGCAGCGCGCTGTCTTCCCGGCTTCTGTAGTGTGCGTGAAAGCCGGGTCCCAAGTGCACATGCGCAAGAAGTGGTGCTCTTTGTGAATGGTAAGGCGGTACCTGGGACACATGACAGATCCCAGAAGCTGCCGGACCAATCACAAAGCGCAGCGCTTCTCGCTCATGCGCACTGGGCATCCGGCTGTCCGCCGAGCGCCCACACTACAGAAGCCGGGTAGACAGCGCGCGGCTGGATAGAGGAACAGGTAAGATCAAAGAACAACTCCGCGGAAGTAAGAGCGGGTACCTGTCAAATTCAGGTACCCGCTCCCCCTCCCTCCCCAAAGGTCAGCAGTCATCTCCTGTACTGTCCGCAATCTCCGGTCATCCCTGTACTGTCCGCAGTCTCTGGTCATCTCCTGTACTATGTCCGCAGTCTCTGGTCATCTCCTGTACTATGTCCGCAGTCTCTGGTCATTCCCTGTACTATGTCCGCAGTCTCTGGTCGTTCCCTGTACTATGTCCGCAGTCTCTGGTCATCCCCTGTACTGTGTCCGCAGTCTCTGGTCTTCTCCTGTACTGTGTCTGCAGTCTTCGGTCATCTCCTGTACTGTGTCCGCAGTCTCCGGTCATCTCCTGTACTGTGTCCGCAGTCTCCGGTCATCTCCTGTACTGTGTCCGCAGTCTCTGGTCATCTCCTGTACTGTGTCCGCAGTCTCTGGTCATCTCCTGTACTATGTCCGCAGTCTCTGGTCATCTCCTGTACTGTGTCCGCAGTCTCTGGTCATCTTCTGTACTGTGTTCGCAGTCTCTGGTGATCTCCTGTACTGTGTCCGCAGTCTCTGGTCATCTCCTGTACTGTGTCCGCAGTCTCTGGTCATCTCCTGTACTGTGTCCGCAGTCTCTGGTCATCTCCTGTACTGTGTCCGCAGTCTCTGGTCATCTCCTCTAGTATGTCTGCAGTCTCCGGTCATCTCCTGTACTGTGTCCGCAGTCTCCGGTCATCTCCTGTACTGTGTCTGCAGTCTCTGGTCATTCCCTGTACTATGTCCGCAGTCTCTGGTCATCTCCTGTACTATGTCTGCAGTCTCTGGTCATCTCCTGTACTGTCCGCAGTCTCTGGTCATCTCCTCTACTATGTCCGCAGTCTCTCTGGTCATCTCATGTACTATGTCTGCAGTCCATTATTTCAGAATTTTTCTTTTCCTGTTTTCTGCCTCTAAAACCTAGGTGTGTCTTATGGTCAGGTGCGTCTTATGGAGCGAAAAATACGGTATTACATAAACCACCACAGGATAAATTTGGAGGCACTGCTGAGATCCAAAGAAATCGTACCATAATACAAAACGCACTGGTGATTGTATATTTATACGGATTGTCAAAGATATATATTTTGTGTAAAAATGGCATCCAGTAACCACGGATCCACCTCTTCCAAGCATAGTGAGGAAAAGGGAGCCGTTCAAAATGTTGAGGACGCAACTCCTAAGAAAGCTAGAAAAGCCCGCGATGCTTGGCAAAGTTATATGGAATGTGCGGTGATGGATTATCTCCATCAGAGATGAGATTTAGGGGACAGCACTGAGGAATTAGTGGAAGTAGAGAAGAAGCAGGCTCAAAGCACCTATGAGGACCTGTTTAAACAGAAAGGTCGGGTTGTTGGGTTTTTATTAGCATTTTCTGAAGCAGAAAATAATAAAAGCCGTGACAGACTTCTCCTAGAAGCATGGCCCATGTTATGGTTTATGAGCAGTGAAGCTGCCCAGCAAACGCCAGCTTTGAGGAAGGACTTTTCAGAAGCCTGCCACCTTTTGAAAGACAGAGATAAGGAAATTGAGTCCTTGAGGGAGAAGCTTGACCGTACATGTGTTCGTCTAGACGAATCCAAGGAACATCAAGCTAGCTTAGTCAAAGAAATTCAATATGCTCAGGGTTTATATGAGGAAAGTTTTGAGAAACTAAAACAGTTTAAAAAAAAATATCAAGACGTAAAACAAGAAGTAGAATTCTTTAGATCAGGAAGAATATCCCCTGTTGAAATTAAAGTTCATCCAGGAGATAAGAATGATCAATCAGAACTTGCCTTTGTAAGGTCCGAGCAAAAAGCACTAGAGGAGCAGATTGTCAAGTTAACTGCCCAAATAAATGCTGGAGTCCAGAGCTGGGCCAACCCAGTTAAGCAGGAGGCGGATGAATGGGAATACCCGTATCACAGTGAAGCACCTGATAGTGAGGCAAAGACATACTATAGGTCGCCCCCTAGGCTCCTGAGATATACCCCAAAGCGTGCAGAAGACGAATACGAGGCTTCATATAGGCAGGAAGGGAAGTCCCGGGGGTCATTCAAAAGATATGACAAGGTATCCCATTCCCGACCAGCCAGAATTCAAGACTCTATTTTATGAAGCACTACCTGCTTACATAAAATTGGGACTTGCCCAGGATTACAGGAAAGGACGCTCTCTTGATTTGTTGGTGAAAGAAAGTGACTATTTGTTCTCGATCCAACAGTCCAGTGAGAATGGGATAAAAAGAAAACCCAAGAATAGTCCCAAGATAGTGGCAGCCACTACCGTTTCCCCTCCAAATCTAAATTTGCAGGCGGAGAAGAAATCTTACGCGGAAGTAGTCCGTGGGGGTAAACCCAGTGATTCCCCTAGATTTGCCCCTCAAACCCAGCAGGTGAGGGAGGATAGACAAGAGCCAAGGAACTATGGTAGTGGAAGTGAAAAGGGTAAAAGGTATGAAAATGCACAGTATAGTAATGAGAACCAAAGGGGTCAATGGTATCCTCAGAGGTTCTACTATCCTCACCAGAACCAACAGAGAAATTTTTATATAGGAACAACAAATTTAACAGGAACCCCAATTTTAATAGGAATGCCAACTTCAACAAGAATTCTGACTTCTAAAGATTCCCTCAAAACCAGGAACACCCTCAAGCTCAAAGGGTGGATACAGTACCCCAGGTTCCCCTCAATTACAGGGAGAACCAGAAACCTCAGGGAGCAAGGCCATGGCGTCGGGACCGGAGCAGCAGTTCTGACTCCGAGTCTCCTAACCAGTCCCGTCCGAAACGCAACCACAAGTACAGGAATAGGGAGAATCACCAGAATGCCTCCTCTAAGCACTTTGAACAAATAGAGGCGCAGGTCAGCAAAATGGCTGAACAAATTGAAAGGCTTGTCAATAACCATTCTTCCAATCCTTTTTTAGGAGCAGCCTCTGTGACCAACCAAGGGTCACAGAATTAATAAGCAACCAAGCCTTAAACCAACAGGGGAGAACACTGAGTGAGATGACAGGAGATGTATGTGCCATCCTTGACACGCCCACTAATGGAGAATCTAGTTTTTGGGCCGAGGGGGACCAGTTGTTGGTTATGAATTCCTCTCTGGTTTTTCAGTGTCCATCTATTTCCCCAATATAGTCACGGCGTCGGAAGTCGTCATGATTGACAAGCCAGACGGAATGCCAACTTCTAGTTGTGCTTCCGTCTTGAAACAGTCCAAGAATCCTGCCAGGGTGATGTGTCTGCAACGTGCGGTGAGATGAAAGCCAATCACATGTCATTGAGAGGCGCACAGATCTTCAACCACGCTAATGTCATGTGTGAGCTCACTGAATCTGATGGAAGATATTATGCCACAGTGCAGGTGCAGGATGCCAGTGATCTTTCTATTGTAGGCCTAATAGACACTGGATCCCAGGCTACCATTATGTCATATAGGAACATTTTAACAAAGTGGCAAATGTCATCATGCCCAATAAACCAAAACTTAAAAGCTTTGACAGCTCACTGATTGGGGTAGGTGGAGATCCTTTACAGGTCATGGGTACCCCTGGCTTAAACTTAAACTGGGTAATAAGGAGCTTAGACACACCATTATTATTGCCAATATCTCTCAACACCACATGATAATTGGGATAGACTTCCTTAAAAGGCTCAACACAATAGTTGACTGTGAGAACCAAGTACTGTGGTCACAAGTAAATACCCTTATTAAATATGGGAAACTTAAAACTCCCCATTCCCAGCAACACTGCCACCTGGTGGAAGAAAGGCCTGGTTCCTTGGAAATCCATTTCAGGAATAGTCAACTTCCTGATGTCACGGTTATCCAACCTGATGACCATAACCCTACCAGAAGAAATGAGGATCACATTTTTAACATTCCCCGAAATAAAATAAAAGATATTTCCCTCCAAGATGATATACTTACCATATCTTTTCATCAGGTGGATAAACCAAGGAAAGGGGGGAATCAAGCCCAATTCTTGACAGGTATTGAAAGGGTTAACAGTGATTTATTTATCCCTATCCAGATAAACAGTCTTAATAGGTCAAAATATGCCAAACTAGATTTGAGACAGGAATACAGCTTTGTAAGCCATAGGCTGATAAAACACCTGACCGAAAGGGAAATGATCCGTTTCTCCACACCTCAGCGTCATTGGATTTCAGACTCCATTGATGATTCTGATGATTATAATTCAATAGCTAGGTGTCTCTTAAACGTCACTATAGGGAATAAGACAGCCACCCATGTGTTCCTAGTCTTGGATAATCTCCAAACTAAAATTTATTTTGGCAAAGATATGTTACATCGCTTTGCAACTCAAGTCGACCTAATTAATGACTGCTTATGGAGTCGACTAAAGGGGGACCCCAAGAGATAGCAAAATCTGGACTTAGCTTTAAAATCCCGGCAACAGATGCCTTATGCTGTTGAGGTCCAGGTAGCCCAAAGAATTACAATTCCTAAGGGCATAAATAATTTCATACTCCCCATCAAAGTTAAAAAGGGACATAGACTGAAGGGGTCAGATTCATTGATATGCCTCTCCCATAAAATGCAGGGAAGGGACTGAACATTACACATACACTCCTAGTCAACACACAACAGTCCCCGATGTAGATTTACGTACATAATCTCTCCAATCAGGACATCATCTTACCCAAGGAGACCCTCATTGGTCTAGTGGTAGAGACAGAGTATCACACTTTTGGAGTCACTAACCAGGTGATTGAACTCATCCCTGATGAATATTTATCAGAGGAACAATTAATTGAACAATCGTTCCATTCATTACCAGAAGGTATCTTCACCATAGAGTCCATTTATCCCTTCGATTCTAAAGATGGTACCTGTAGAATTAAAGAGACATCAATTGTCTTTGATCAACCAATCAAAGAACAAGAGTACCCCAAGGGACCCGGATGGCAGGAGAACACACATCACACACACGCTCAATGACCTAACCACAAAACTGGAAGAGGCCTATGAGATAGGACAGCCGGAAAGCTTTCCTGGATTCAAGGAGTTAGTCGAAGAGATGGTAGCCCTAGCCGATGCACGTTCCAATGATCTCGACCGACAACTGCTCCAAGAGCTTCTCCTTGAATTCCAAGAGATCTTTGCCAAGGATTCTTACGATTGTGGGACTACTGACCTATACATCGCTAGGATCCAAACAGACCCAGATGCCCCACCAGTATTAGTAAGACCGTATAGGTTGCCATTAGCTTCCTATGAATCTCTAGCCAAGATTATCAGGAAGTTACATGAAAGGGGTATAATAAAGCCCATCCACAGCTCCTATAACCACCCTATCCTAGGTATTTTAAAACCCAACGGACAATGGCGTTTGTGCGCTGACCTCCGTCAGTTAAACAAGCGTGTTTACATGTCAGGATGGCCTGTCCTATGCATAGACCAATGTCTAGCCCCAACTCCAAGGATCCCGAGTTTTTACAGCCTTGGATTGTGCCCAGGGATATTTGACCATTAAGGTGAGTGAGGAAGACCAATACCAACTGGCTTTCAGTTTTGGCAACCGACAGTACTGTTGGGTGCGTATGCCTTTCGGATTTATAAATTCCGGACATGAGTTTGCTGTTTTTAACGCAGAAGGCCATGCCAGATGCCCTCGAGAGGGGGACGTTGGCATATGTGGATGATATCCTAATCAAAAGTACTGATATGGCCAAGCATATTACAGAACTTCGACACGTTTTGGGCCAAT